ATAAAATATAATTGTAAAATGGTTTATAGAATAAAATGATCTTCTGTATACAAAACACCAAAGTATGACATGAAAGCGTTGTATTTTGCTGCTTGACTTCTCAATGCGGTGTTTGTTACATTCTTGTGTCAAACTCGGAGTGACACATTTCATTTTGGCTAATTAGGCCCAACTTGCTGCTAAATTATTCACTGTCTTTTCAGTTAATGCCTTTAAAATCAGTCGGTGGACACAAGTAAAGGAAAGGGGAAAATCTGCATTTCAAAAACACCAGATGAAGCAAGGAGACTTGTAGACAGGATATCATCTAATAGGCTTTGAATATGTAGGAGACCCCCCCCCCCTCTCTGCCTCTCCGTGTCACACAGAAAACAGACAGGAGGCCAACTGAAATATCATGCTTGTTTGAAAGCTGTTGTGCTAATGGCAAAGCGTTAATTAACGGAGGTGTTTGCCCGAGCTGGGATGCTACCGTTAGCGGGCAGAAAGTGGCAGCACTTGACGACAAAGTCTGCTCTGACTCTGGAGTCATCGAGGATATTGCATGACATTTGACTCTTCACTTCCAGATTAATCCGCCTGCAGGTCCATTGAGAGAAATCCAACCGTAAAAGCCACATCAGCCACTCTCGTTGGCTTTATTTTTGTACAAAACGACTCGTTTTGGCTCTGTAATTTGTGTCGACATACCTTTTCCCCTCGAGTGTGCCCATCGGAGGCTCAGAGAGGCTGGTACGTATGGAAATGAGTGCATCCCCCAGGAGATGGAGGGATAGAGGTGACACAGCCAATGAAGGTAGTCTCACCCCGTTTAGGGTGCAATAACACATTTACTCTGGAAGCGTTTAACCAGCTGCAGTAAACTGCAGGTAGCATATGGAGCGCCAGCCCCGAGTTCCCCACTGACGCTGATAATAGCGTAAATGATCATCACTGTGGCAACGTATAGTCAGCAGGCCCCATGTCGGGTAAGCCATGGGTAGTTAACTGTCATTGTTGTGCGGATGGATGGCTGAGCTGCGTTCCAGAACGGTGACAACATACGCTGCTTTGTGCTCCGATCAGCGCTGCCAAGATTGACTGGAGGCATCGGCAGCTCCTCTGCATCGCTCAGATCCTCATCTGTGCTCATGGATGCCTTTGAAAATATCTTGTGTGGGTGGGAAACCAGGCTAATGAAGACATTCTGCGGCATTAATACCTTCATGTTTCATATCTCTACAGTGACTTGTTAGTTCATTGATATTAAGCATGTCCACGTCATTAACGGCGGCGTTGTTTTTTTATGAGTCCTGTAAATAAATCTTAATCTGCTGCTGTGGATTTGGTTGTTCCTGATTAAAAGATGCTCATGTGCTGCAACCGAAGTGCCATCAGTGGGTATCTTGGCTCCGATGGAACGTATACCATCTAAGGTATGTCGATCTGCTTTGCTGATGGAATCCTGCGCCTCTTGGCACGTTGGGAAAAGAGCCATACTTTGGGTGTCTGCTTTGCTTGGGTAGCTCCATCTGGTCCTGGCACCGCTGTGCTTCGCCTCTGCCCAGGAGTTCTGCATCACAGCTATGTGTTGGCAATTAGCAGAGATGTTGGCAAGGCATCAGGCCACTGAGCGGCATTCTCCCCGGGTCTGTTGAATGGCTGTTCTATGCATCTTTTCTTTCTTTACTGTCATTCTACAGCTTCATGTCAAGCTCTGTGTATGTTAAGAACCAGTCAAAGCAAACTCAAAACTTAAGCCAATAGACTTTAGGGGCTGCAGGGAAGGCAAGTCCCAAAAACATAAAGACATAAAGTTTCATAACCAATGAAACCAAGTAGAATACATAACAAAGGAAGTAATGACTGAAATTTCTGGTGCATGTATTACAAAAAAGCCAAACAAACAAGCAAAAAACTAAAGCAAGCCAAGTAAACAAAACTGGAGTAAATAGCATTTGGGTTTAGTAGTTTTTAATATTATTAAGCTTGCCGTCAGTTACAGTCTTGTATTTCTTATTTGTCTTGAACGGCGTTTGTTTTCCCACTGCTTCATTTACTTAAATATGCCAGCTAAAGCTTTTACAGCTTTACAAAGTCAATGCCTGTTTACATTATCCAGGCATTGACTTTGTCCAGTTTAATTGACTTTGTCAAGTTTAATTCTTGAAGCAAACATTCAGATTGTAAGTAGATGCTGTTATGTTTTCCTCATATTTCCAGATCAAAGGTTCTACACAGTCAGCTCTGCTTCTGCTCCTTTTTTCCATAGGAGCACTATTCCGCTATTTCATTTTCTTTTCAAGAAGACTGTCCAACATTACGTTCTAGTGCTTGGAGTTATTCTATGTAGCTTAATAGAGTAAAAGAAAATGATTTGTTTTTTATTCTTTATTTTAATTTCACGTTCTGGTGAAATGAACACCTAAAATCCAAGGACCGAACGGTTTTCATCTTGACCCCTTTCCAGGTTTGACGTGGCGGGACGACATCACTCAGCAGGTTATCTCCAGAGAGCTCTCCAAACTGAGGAACATCCCTCTACGCCAGCAGAGCCCCCCTCCGAGCCAGCTGACGGCGTACAGCAGCTCCAGAAACAGGAAGCTGAGGCCGACTCAGGCGGACCTGAGCAGAAACCTTCAGCAGTATTTGATGGGATTGGGCTTTAGGCCAGACGCTGACACGAAGCAACAAGAAAATCAACCGGTAATTCAGGTGAGATTCCGGTACTGTAAATGAAATGAATGCCAATAACAAACAGTAAAAAAAAAAAAAAAAAAAAAAAGAAAAAACTATTTAAGAATTAAAACAAGAGATTTGGTATGAAAATGTGACAGCTGTGCCATCAGGTCTTTACATCAATACGCCTTTTTGATACATTTATTGAAAACTGAGTGTGAAAAGTTTTGACATATAAAGTAAATGAAGTTTTCAGTTCAATTCAAAAATATTTTATTAATCCTAAAGAAAAATTAACTAGGCATCATTTCCCTCAGTTTTACAAATAAATGCCAGTTTGTGCTCGTCTGTCCCACAAACCTCCTGTAAAATGCATTCGTTTGCATCTGTAATGGGACAAAATGTGGTTCTTTATTAAATGTGACATATAAAGACTTTTGCAAAAGACTTTACATCTCCATACTCAATGCAACGTGTAAACAAAAAGTCATTTGGTGGTATAGTGAGAAAGGATAGAGGAGTCATTTATTGTCTTTTGCATTTGTCCTCTTGTCCCCGCTTTGCTTTTGTTTCTCTCTCTCCCACTGAGCGGGGACCCTTTTTACACAAAGGTCCTCCATCACCTCTTTACATTATTCAACTATAATATTTAGGGTGGACGTCCCGCTTTGTGCAAGATATGACTGGAATCTCTTATATGTGGGCTGCGTCCTGCTGCTGTGTCACTGCATCCATAATGCAAAGTTGAAGAGTTCAAGACCTTTCTTGGAGAAGGAACGGCGTCCTTTGTGGTGCGGCGTGATGGAAAGAGGCAAACATGGTTAGCATGAATGGCGGAGCACCTCCGTCTTGCTGTGCTAATGCCATTATGGGTCTCTCTGTATGCTGGCAGCGGAAAGACTGACATTTTCTCTGTATACATTTGAAAGACAGAAAATGGCACCAGGGGAGAGAGCTAGTATTAGTGTTGCAGTGACATGGATAATAATGCTTTTCAGTGCATCAGATGTACTGTATGCTGTGTGCGTGGGCTCGTCTGACTCAGATGGAAAGAATGATTTGCCATTCTCACAGGACAGAATCACAAAAAAGGGGGGGAAAAAAAGTACAAAATCACTCTCTTTGGTGCCAGTATCAACTCCATCTTCATTGCCAAATGGTTAAAAAGACCTCTAAATGTCTGTGTACGTAGCAGCGCATTGTAATGCAAATCCATGTTTCATCATGTGTGAAATATAAACTCATAGGGGTAACTTTGAAATCATTCTCCCCCCGCCCCATTTCGATAAGGGATTGCCGCTACTTCTCAGACTGGGAGGATATGCTTTTAAAGTTTCTGGTGTGTTGTGGGAATGCATGAAATTACTCTTTGAGTGACACTATCTCATCTGGGATTTCCATAATGCAATTTCCAAGGGCAGTTGTCTTTGATCTAGAATCCCTATTCATATCCTGTCCTGTCTGGTGGAGCGCAGGTTGCTTCTCTTCTTATTCTGAAGCTTGTCACATCAGCTCTGACCCCTGCTGCAGCTCATTTGATGTTCTTGTTGAGCCAAATGGTTATGGAAGAGCCCAGGCCAGGTTGAAAATGCGTCCTGTGAATTTTCCCACAGTATCCCTTCTATAAAAGTGCAAAAGAAAACTTTAGGTTTGCAGTATTTGTTGATAACATACAGATGTTTTCAAAGTCAACATTTTAGCTAAAGTGCTGTTGTCTACATTAGCTACAATAAAAGTCTTAGTTCATTGTTGTGACATGCTGTCTCTATCATTTCACACATTTTGTTTCTTAGCTTAATGTTGTAATATGCTGTCTACAATATTCCAGAAATCAGAATGTGATGCTGTTAGCATTGTAACATGTTAGCGTATTATTTTATCCACCGCTATTTGATGCTACACTTCAAAATCTTATGTTATTATGACAAGTATGTATATTACTTAAAGATTTAACATCCAATGCTAAATGACACAACCGTATGGACAGTGAATTTTCCCTGATTTTTTGTAAGTAACTCTAATACTAAGGCTCAATACCTTAAATACTTCAAAAAGTAAAGGATTTTTTTCTTTATATTGTCTAACAGACAATCACAAATTCTAGCTCCTCCAACACACTGAATCCCAGTTAGTTATTACCTCTAAGTTTTGCTGAAAAAAAATTAAGATGAAATTGGGTAGTATTTGTGTTTTTAATAAGTTTGACTACAATTTTGGTTCATAACCTCCACTGGATCCATGAAAATGGTGCTACAAATACTAATACTACTCATACTCTAAAGCTGACGGCTGACAATGTGTTGCAGAATGAAGATATCACACCCGAGGCTCTGAAAAAGCCCGGCCAGCCAAAGCCAAAGCAGACCTGGAAGGAGACCACCATCTACAGCCTCCAGAAAGGAGCTGGCCAGCCTCCAGTTACCAAAGTCGTTACCAAGAGTGGCGATGGCAGACACCCCAAGCTCAGTACAGCCTACTCGAGCCATGAACCTGACAGGAGCAAGCTCCTCTCCAACCATCTGCAGCAGCTCCTTCCCGGGGCGTCAAGCACTCAGCAGGGCATCGCTGGTGGAGAGCCTGTTTGGCCAAAGGGGAAACTCCACTACCTCAGCTACCTGCAGCCTACTCAGAGCAATCACGCAGACCCACAGATTGCTTTTGGCTCCAATATGGCAAAGCCTAATCTTGACAGACTGCTCTTCAAAGCTGGCCCAAATCGGCTCCCTGCAAAAGACCCCCATAGCCTCGTGGATGGTAGGTGCAGTTGTTTTGTAGCTTTTGTTTGCAGATTTTACACTCCAATACTTAGAACTTGGTTTGTGACAGGAAACCCACTATTTGAAATGATGCCAGGAGCTTTTTAATGGGGTGGTTGAGACGCAGCATGCTAAGAGACATTTAACTGAATATCGCTGAGGATGTATGTATACACTTGAGCCGTATGTCTTAATTTTGACCGTTTGTCAATTAGAAAAAAAAAAAATCTTCATAAAATTCATTTGAGTTTCTGGTAGTATATGGAAACCCAACTGTAAAGTGAAATTGTAAATAATCTGTTCTCTGTTCCTGTTTTTCTTCCAGATCATCTCATCCTCAATGCGGTGAATCAGCTGGGGAGGCACAGCCTTAACATGGAGGCTTTGATGGGCAAAGATCTGGACCATCTTGCTGAGGTCATCACAGGAGCTCTGCAGGAGGCGGATGAGGAGCGGCTTACTGATGGGGTCGAGCCAGTGCCCGGCGCTGGTGATGACCCCAGGGGGGAGATGAGGGTTAACCAGGAGAAGCCGGCAGGAATGCTTCTGAATCAAGACCAGGATCTGAAATCAGATGAAGGTCTGAATCCAAACCCAAAGGAAACTCTGACATTAAAACAACAAGGTTGGTGTTCACGTACAATATTATGTATAATAATGTGCAAGTATAAGGCATTGTTGGCTTTTGTTTGTGTAATCCTCATACGAAATTCTGCTAAATGCTTTTCTCACTCTTTCATATTTCTGTCAAACTTGTTTTTCCTCTGCTAAACAAAGGAGGAACCTTGTTTCTGTACAATGTTCTCACATACATTATGTTTCTTTCCAGGCCAACAAATAGACGTTGCAGAAAAAGAGTCCACTGACAAGGTGAATTATAAATTACTCTGCTGCAAAACAAATATATATATATATATATTTTTTTTTAATGAGACGTGACCAAGATACAGTTTTATTTACTTGTTCCTGCTGCTTTGAAAGGAGGATTTGAATAGGCGTAGTTTGAATTTGAAAGACAACGTAACCCTGCACAATCTCAGATTTGTCTGCAGCATTTTCATCAACAAACAAGAGAAACTAATTAATGTGGCCGTTATTATTTGTAAGGAAAAAAAAATATTCTTCCAAACTCTCAGAAAAGGTGAAAGATGTATCATAAATGTGTCCTTTTTAATAACTAGCTCTGTTCAATTTACTCATAAAAAAAAAAAACATATGTCCTCTTGATTTCTAAACTAAAATTGTTCTTACTCAAACAGCATGGGGCCATATTTTCCAAGCTGCTAGACTACCTCAACATGGAGCCCTTCGGCGGTGCTCCTGGGGTCAAGAGCAGGCCGCCAGCTCCTCTCCAGAAAATGGTTGGACTGGAGAGCGTCCACAGCATAACGAAGCAAGGTCAAGTTCCTGCCCCCTACCGCTCAGAGGAGAAGATCGTGATCGTCCCGGCAAAGGAAGGGTCCACCCTGCGGCTGACTGGCGGAGCAGAGGCACCCGATGGGAGGGTGGACTCTGAGATCCAGAGGTGGATGCAGGCGGACCAGACCCCCGACGGGGCTGCGCAGCCAGAGGAGGCGCAGAAGAAGGACGTGAAGATTAAAACCCAGCTGGTCCACGTGGGAGTGAAGGAGTTTTCTAGCAGAGGGAAGGACAGACACTTTGGCTACATCATCACCAACTCAGAGTGAGTTTTTGATGATGCAATTGAGAATGTTGCTTTTAGGCTACACATCCTGCTATTTTAAGATTACTAATTTATTAAATTTCTATCGAATTGGATTATAACTGAGCAGTTTTGTTTGCACCGATGAGTTGCGAGTGCAAAAATGTGAAGTCGTCACTAATTTCTTTGCTTCCAATAATTCAGATTTTCTTGCGTTCTTGTAAAATGAGGTCTTGATTTGTAGTTTTGTGGTATTTCTAGAGATCTTTTACAGATTTTCTTGGCTTGAGATTTTTTCTGCATAACATGACGTCTTGTTATGCAGTATGTCTTATAAAATAAGGCAAAGAGCTTACGCAAGGTTTTGGTGATGCATCATCCTTCATCTGATTCATCTGATTCATTTGAATCATTTGATTCATCTGCAGTACGTTTTTCAGTGTTTTAGCTACACATTGATGCCAGACTGCTGGTACATAAGGATCCTCTTTAAAATTGAGTTTTTTGATAGATTGAACTACTGACATGTCCGTGGTTCATCTCTTATATTCAGGAGCTTTTTTTTATATCTAAATGATTCATAAGTTGGAATAAAGAGACTTGCCTAAGAATATAAATCATAAAAGGCCCAGGTAAAATGAAAAAGCAGCTAAAATAATATAATAATTAAAAAAAAAAAACTTTTAAAACTCTTAGAATGTTAGTAGACAATCAAGACAACTTAAATGATTACAAGAAAGTCTGGTGCAACTTGACTTGACTTTTGCACGTCACTGCCACATTATAGATCCATAACTCTGCATTTTTCACATCATGATATGCATATACTAGCGAAGAACCTCTGCTAATTAAGAGTTGCTAATGAACAGTTTACCAAGAGTAACTGGTTGAAACAGGCTGTTACTATGACCCCCATTTACACTTGATTAAGACCAACATGCAGTCTCCAAGATATTTGCAACCATTTAAATATGCCCGGATCACAGAAAAGGTGAAAAGGTCATATTTCTGCATAAAGAAAATAACGATGCTACAATTTTATTAGTCCAGTCTATTTGTGTTTGGAAGTAAGGGGTTTTAGTCCATCTGCAATATAATCAATATTCAACACTATTACCCACTTAAAAGTTTTTTTTTTTTTTTTTTTTGCTGTTCTCATCTCTAAACTTCTCAAAACTTAAAACTTCCTCCAGCTTTATTCCATCGGGGGCATCAGTACTGATTTCTAGTGGAAGACATCTCAGTGCTGTGGAGTGTTTATTGGGATGTGGAGCATAGACTGATCAGTGCAACCGCATGATAGGATTTTCAGGAGTGATGGTTCACGTTGTGCATTGCAGGTACGAGTGTTACAATACCTTACTTTGAGGACTGGCGGTCCTTGTGGACTTGATGAGTTTGAAGCCTTGACACGAGGACACAATGGCCTGTCCACCTTTAAATCCAAGCTGCGCCTCTTGATAAGCTGCCACCCTGCTCTCTCTGTGAAAATTGTGTGCATTTTTAAACCGAGGAGAACTACTACACTCCAAAATGAGCTCACTGCCTTTTGATGCACCCAGAGGATCTCTCTCTCTGTCCCTGGGAAAGCTTTGAATATTCTGTTTCATTTGTAACATTGCAGTGCTGTTCAAATCTGGGGTAAAGTTGTCTTTATGCTTTTCAAACATTTTACAAACATTACTGTTTTGGCTAATTGTGCACATGTTGCTTCTGCATTTGGATCCAGTTTTGGTAAACTTACCAATATTGTGAAGTAACATCATGTTTGTCTATCGCTTCATTCACTAAAAATGCCAAATTTGGATTGCCGAAAGCGTAGATTTAAAGAAACAATCACTCTTCGCTTCGTGTTAACTGTAACACTTTGCAGTCAGTGCTGCAGTTAATTTTGGAAGTGAAAGTGTTACAATAAAAGAACTTTTTTCATAAAAGTGACAGCTGTCCTTGAGATGGCAGAATAACTTGGGCATTGGTTTGTGACCACATTTACTGCACATTTCCTCTCGATGCGTTTCATACACATTAAATCAGATTTTGTACAAAAGCATACAGGCAGCACCATCAAATGTAAACGTCCTTTTACTCTTAATGCTACCCGACTTGATGGAGTAGTCCAAGTCTTCTTTGTAAGGCAGTGTTTTGCTTCTGACATACTAATGGATTTGTTTCAAGTACTCTCACTTTTGCACCAAGCATATGCCTGCTTTGTTCGCTTACTGACACAGCCTTTAAAAGCCGAGTTTCTGTCAAAGCCACCTACATATTCCCATCTTTATGGAAAAGGGACGCTGTGGGTTAGACTCCTTTGTGTGTGCTGTACCTGATTACAATAGCGGAGATGATAAATCCCTCAGTGTGAGAGCATTACTGTGCAGCATTACAGCCTTAATGATGATACTTTGTGGGGAAGGGGAGCCAAGTTTCTGCCTCCCTTTCTCTCTTACCTCTGGCTCGGCTCCGTCTCAACAGAGATAAGTTTCTATCGACTCTGTCTTTGCCCCTGGCACTCTCTCAAATCTCTTTATAGCTTTATCAAGGCTGGTGTCAGTGGGTTGTCCTTCACCTGATCAACAAAACGCAGCCTCGTAAAGGTCCGATATGGGTCCGGTCGTTGTTGCTGTGCAAATAGAAGTGGCAGATTACATACGGTATATATTAGGAAAGAAGCGGGTCACCTTCCTCCTTTCTTCACTGTCCACTCAGCGGACACCCACGGTAGACCTATGAAGGTGTCTCTGCATTTGCTCCAGACATCATGGCTGCACAGTTGTTATCCCCTTCTTCACATGCCGTGAGGCCACACAGAGCTGCTTATCCAACAGCATCTGACATTGCTCTGGTTGTAGAGAAGTGGTGGGGGGTGAGATGTAGGAGAAGAAGGAGGAGGCGGCGGCGGCAGCTTTGGGGTGGTATGTGTGTATGCTTTGGGGAGGTGAGACGGAGGTGGGAAAGGTATGGATTCAGGAGAATGAGAAAGAAAACCCCAAGGGGGAAAAGTGCTAGCATCAACAACCAAGTCACTCCTGAAGCTCTCCAGTTGCTCGAATTACCGCAGATGGGTGGGGAACGTGTCTGGAATTGCTTTGGTGGAGCTTTAACTTCTAAAACTCCACAAAAATTGCAGAAGAAAGAACTTTGCACCCACTTAAGTGCACAGAAAACCAGCCACTTAGGCACAGCACACTGTTACATCTGTTAGAAAATGTGGCTGAGGTGCAAATGCAGACCAAGCACTAATGTATGAGGATAATCTGACTTGGATAAAGATGTACCGCACACAATTCTTTGCAAAAAGTATTCAGACACCTGAACCCTTTTCATATTTGTTTCATATTAAATCATTATCTTTTTATATTTCATATGTTAGACCAAGACAAAGTAGCACATAATTGTGAAGTGGAATACATTTATTTATTTTTTTTGCTAATAAATCATCCTGACACATGGTGATGACAATATCATAGACTTTTCTCGATCAGGAGCAGAAAAGTTAGTGGGAGTCAACAGGAAGCCCTAACTTCAGGGGAATCCTGAAAGAAAACTTCACAGAGGCTGCAAAGGACTTGAGTGTAGGTTGAAGGTTCACCTTCCAGCGTGACAATAAAACATACAGCCAGAGCTCCAATTGCATGGTTAGGATCAAGGCAAATTCATGTGTAGGTATGGTCCAGTCAAAGCCCAGACTGATTAAAGAGCTGCAGCAAGACTAGTAAAAAATATATATTTTACAAACGTTCTGACTCCAGCTGGTTAAAAAAAAAAAAAAAAAAAAAAAAAAAAAAAAAAAGACGTGCTGCTGTAACTGGAGCAAACATTGATGCTAAAAAGTACAGATACTTTTATACTTTTTATACTTTTATACAGGGAGCTAAACACAAAATGCACACCATGCTACTTTATGTTGATCTTTCTTCTGAAATCCCAATAAAACACTTTGAGGGTTGTGGTGTGAAAAAAAGTTCAATGGTCTGCACAGATTTTTGAAAGGAACTGTATGCAGTAAATGGTCTTGCACTCAATGCCCAGGCCTCCATGAAATTGTTTCCCTGCTTATTTCACATTTCTCCATTATATGGAATGGAAACAAAATTTTAAAAGATTGTCTCAGCGCGATCCATGACCTCTTGCTGCATGTCACCTTGCAGTCACCTGGCAGCAATTCCCAGTGATTCCTGGTTAAGCCATCAGGAAAAAAAAAATAAAGAAAAGTAGCTTTTCTGATAGCGCTTGTGAGGATGCACTTCTCATCTCCCGCGTACGAAGCTCGGCGTCCGGCAGATTGCCTTTGTTTGGTCTATTTCCTCCCTGAGTGAGAAAGCAGCCGTGGACTGAGCTGAGATGAGGCATGGCTTTATCAGACCACCATTACACTTCACCTCGATTTCATTTGCACCTTATTATTCCCATCTCAACGTGGAGGCGCGTGCGTGGCCCCGGCGTGTTTGCGTTGCGCATTTTATTATTATTATTATTTTTTTGTGAGGGCAAAGCGCGTGCGGGATCGGCGAAAACGTCAATGCGGAAGGAAGGAGAAAGATGAGAGAAGGAGGAGAGAGAAAGGAGTGTCTGTATGATGCAGCCATTACACCTCATGCAGGTTCCATTTGCACCTTATTGTTTGTTTCATTGGTGGAAAAAAAAGCAGGTGATTTAGCAAGCCCGGAGAGGCAGCTGATCCCTTTTCCCTCGACACAGTGCTTTGTGTGTGTTTTTATTTGTGATTGTCTGCAATGTTCTCTCTCTCTTTTTTTTTTTTTTTTTTTTTTTTTTTTTTGCACTACATCCACTCAGACAAGCATGGCATTCTGCTTGTGTGCAATGACCCGTTGGCGGGAATTAAATGTGAAAGCATTTTCTTGGAAAACCAGCATTTTAACACCTTAATGTTTGGGTGTCTCTTCCAGCTCCCTCACCAATGACCGGGCCTCGGACCTGATGGACCGGCTGACCCAGAGGCTGAGCCTCCACACCGCAGACCTCACGCAGCTCTCGTATGTGCAAACACTGGTCTACCATGCAGTAGAATTATAAATTATATTTGAAGCATTTGAAACATTTGGCATTGGAGTCTTTGAGTTTAGGTGAACAGGGTGACCCCCCCCCCCCCCATTCCCTGAAAGGATTGTTTATGCAAAAACAGAAAAGTGCAGGAGACTGTTGACGTTTGCTGTTTTTCTGACCTTTTGGGGTGTTTGACTTCATGCAGCCAGAGAAATCAAGCCTAATTACCTCTAGACCCACACTGATGTCTCTGCTGTATTAAAAACAGCTCTGTGACACTGCCACAGCACCTCTTGTCAAAAAATAGCAGTGCAGCCGTCAACCATTTTCTTTTTTTTTTTTAGTTAAAGGCAAAAAGAGAAAACTGGAAGTAGCGGTGGATCCAGAGAAAAGGACTCCATGAGGAGGCGGTTAATGTATTAATGAGCGCGCAAACTGTCCTTGAACCTGGACTGATTTGTGTTTTTAACGTGGTTCTTCTGCCCGCTCGGTGTCAGATTGCGTAGGAGGCAGAGGAGACGTGTTCGTCTGAGATCTGACGAGCCTTTTGAAACGCTCCGGCAGGGAGAAGTGAAGTCTGCGTGGCTCAATAACACCTGCAGCATGAGAACAACAAAGCCAGACGACTGCAGCGTTCGTGCCAAACACTCCAACACAAGATGAAGAATATTCTGGCTTGCATAACGCTTCCTAAATAAAAAAACACGGTGACCTTAACGTCGGCGCCAGCTGCAGAGGCATTCGGATTTTCAATTCAACCTCCACATTTGGTGCTGCTGAGCCAAAACACTGGGACGTGTAACATTGCTGCAGCGGTTTTGTTAATTTTTGTTAATACATCTGTCATTTCGCATCACATGGAATCAAGTCTTGACACGCGACATGATTAATGCCTTCTTTCTTGATGCTAATGAAAGGTCTGAGGCATTATTGAACCGAACTCTTATTAAGAGAGCGCAGTGGCGAACTTCTCACATGTAAATGAGAGAAAACCACTTAATCAAAGATACGGTTCCTGCATTAAAAGTAATTTATGCCAAAGTTCTTTTAAACATCTGAAAACTAACAGCTGTTTTTCGTACTGTTAAGGCATTACCTCTAGAGACTGTGAAAGGACAACTGTCCGACATTAAATCAGGCAAACGCAACGCCAAGACAACACAACAACCATTTACACAAACACTTACACAAGAAGACAGTTTATTATCTTTAGCTGCTGAGAGATACTGGAGAAGTTGAGGAAAAAAGCCAAAAATCTGCAGGAGAACATGGAAATTTAACAGAAAAGGTCCCCCGGCTATCTTAACATGTAAAAAAAAACAGGTTCCTTGTAAAGAACATGTGGAATAAGATAGATGAAATTGACATACTATTCCATTTTCTTTTAAAGATTGGAGAGATAACCCAAACTCGTATCATGTACCTTATACATGGAGTTAAATTCCTGACCAAAACCTGAGGACTGCATTAAGCAATCACCACAGGATATTTATTAGCTGAGAGAATGGATAGCTCCAAATGATTCATACTGAATTATTTATAGTAGTTATTCAATACTTTGGCAATATAGAGTGTCAAAATAAGTCCTAATCAGAATGCATATTGTAGCGTTTCCTTAATTACACAACATACATTCTAGTTATAAAATAACCAAATGAGTAATGTTTTTTTTTTTTTTTTTTTTCCCGTCCATCCACTGCTGAATGGAATATGTTACTTTTTAGTACAGGATTTCTAAAGGAACTTTGCTGCATTATGTTGCTGTTTTGCTGTGAAATCGGTGTAAAAAACAGCCTCAAATAAAGATTCTTCTGTGTCTTTGCACCTCAAATTTACTCTTTTCTGTTCCGAAGGCAAATAGAGAAAATGTTCCCTTTTTGTTTGGCTTGTTTACCGCCGTCCTTTTTCATTTTTACAAAGCAATGGAAGCACATTCGTTTAGAAACAGCCGAGGCGAAGGACATGACGTGAGCTTTTTTTTTGTGCACCTTTTTAGAGAGCATGCGACAGGTGAGCGTTTGAAAGCTGCTGCCTGAATATGCGCCGGCTGGGAGAAAGAGAGCCGGGTCAGAGCACGCCGCCCTGCTTTGTTTGGAGGGTGGAGGTTCTCACTTTCAGAAGCTCTGATGAGTCCTGACTAATGAAAAGAAACACTCAAATATGACCAAAGGGACAGGATTTTCAGAGCAGAGGGTTGAAATGTGAGGTTTTCTTTTAGAGTTTAAATTTCGGGCACACTTAAGTTCACAGTTGCTGCATGTTTTTCATGTAAAAAAAAAAAAAAAAAAAAAAAAAAAAAAATTTAACCTTTTCCCATTTAAAATTTCCCGGGGGGAAAATTTTTCTCCTTTGGGCAACTTTTTAAACCC